ACAGGTTTTGATAATTTGTGTCTTCATTGTCATTTTGTTCCAATAATTTGGTGATTTCCTTCTTAATCTCATCTTTGACCCAGCTATCATTCAGCCTAAGATTATTTAGCTTCCATGGCTTTGTTTGAGTGTGAAGATTCCTGTTGCTGTTGAGTTCAACTTTTATTCCATGGTGGCCAAAAAGATACAAGGAATAATTTCTATTCTTTTAAATTTGCTGAGTTTAGACCTGTGTCCTAGGATATGATCTATTTTGGAGGATGACCCATGGGCTGATGAGAAGAATGCATATTCAGTTTTATTAGGGTGAAATGTTCTGAAGAGGTCTGTAAAGTCTATTTGTTCTAGGGTCAGGTTTAAGTCTAATATTCCTTTGTTTAGTTTCTTCTTGGAGGATCTATCCAAAATTGTCAAAGGGGTGTTAAAATCTCCAACTTTTATAGTGCGGGAAGATATCAAGTTGTTCATATCCTCTAGGGTCTGCTTTATGAATTGAGGAACATTCTGGTAGGGTATATAAATGTTAATTATCAAAATCTCTTCATGTTTGGTGTTTCCTTTGACAAATATGTAGCAACCATCCTTATCTTTCTTAATCTTTGTTGATTTAAAGCCAATTGTTATCTGCTACTAAAATTGCAACCCTTGCTTTTTTCTGGTTTCCATTTGCCTGTAATGTACAAGTCCACCCCTTTACCCTGGGTCTATTTTTATCTTTTAAGGTAAGGTGAGATTCTTGTATACAGCAGATATCTGGTCTGAGTTTATGTATCCAGTCAGCCAGCCTATGCCTCTTTAGAGGACAATTTAAACCATTCACATTAATTGAGAGAATTGATAAGCCTGGCTGTGTTTTGGGTGTCATGATTTTTGGATGTTCAGTGGACATTTTTAATCCTTTCACCACTGTGGAAGTTGGGTTTTGTTCAATAATTTCTCGGTGAGTTTACTTTGGAGGTAAAGCATTGCGCTGGTCATTGTGGAGGATGGATCTGAGAATATCCTGGAGAACTGGTTTAGTTATGGCAAATTTCTTCAACATGTCTATGTTATTAAAGTATTTGATTTCTCTATCACAAATGAAACTCAGTTTAGCTGGATAGAGGATCCTGGGCTGGTAGTTGTTTTGTTTTAGGAGACTAAAGGTCGATGACCATCTTCTTTTGGCTTGAAACATTTCAGCTGAGAGATCTGGAGTCATTCTGATATTTCTCCCTTTGTAGGTGATGCCTTTCTTACATCTGGCTGCTTGCAGAACTTTATCCTTCATGTCAACTTTGGCAAGGTTAATCACAATGTGTCTAGGAGATGATTTATTTGGATTGAGAATTACTGGGGTTCTAAAAATGTCTGCTATATGAATTTCTGTGTCTTTTGCAATGCTTGGGAAATTCTCCTCCAAAATCTCTTGGAGTAGAGCATCTGTACCTTTAGGACCATCCTCTACTCCTTCAGGAATTCTTATAAGACGAATGTTTGATTTTTGGAGTTATCCCACAATTTTGACAGTCATATTTCTAACTTTTATGAAGATGTTCTTGTTCTGTTGGTTTCTTTTCCATGAAATCTGACTGTTACTTTATTAATGCAGTCAATTCTTGAATCTTTATTAAAATTCTAATTAAAACTTCGACAAGTTCTGTTCTAAGAATTATCTCTTTTCCTTCTGTGACTAATATTTTCTTTGTTTATCTTTGCTTATCTCTTCCATATATCATGCTCTTCTAAAATGTATGTTAATACTTGGATTCCCACTCATATTCAAAGGGAAGATAAATTTTTATTTTTTTTCAGTTTTTCGCTGGGGAGGGTTTGAACTTGCCTCCTCCAGTATATGGAGCTTGTGTCCCATGCCTTTAAGCCACAGGCACCACCCAGGAAAGAGAAATCTGACTGTGAGATCCATGTATATGGACAGGCTTTCATTTTCAGGTGTCTGAAAGAGGAATCAGTCATCCATTTATACTTTAAGATCTCCAGAGGCCAGAATTCAGTGGACTTTTCCTCTGGAATGCAGAGATACTTAAGAACTAAAGAAGAGAGCTCTGGTGCTGAATTCAGAAAACACTGAGGATTGTTGAGCAGGCACATACATACCTGGCAGAGATCTATTTACATATCCATTGACTGTGTGCATTTTAGGCCAGGCCTGAGCAGATGCAGTATCTGTATCTTGCATTGAGGAATCCTTTGTTTCTGAATGCCAACTTTTCCCTGATGAGAGAGTAGGCAAAGTTAGAGCCAGCTAAACATCTGTCTCCTGAATTACCCTCCCTTTCTTCTTCCCTTACTCCCTTACAGCAAAGATTGCTTACACTATAAGCATTTTTGTCAGCAAAGTAGGCACAGATGGTTTATCCTCCCAAAGTCAGTGAAAGGGAGAAAGAAGAGCATTACCAAAGCATACATTTCTTGTTCAAACTGCTTATTTCTCCCTATATTTGTACATAACAACAGATAGGAAGGGATAATGATAAATGATAACTAGGAGAAGGGAGAATGTGGGTTAGTTTGAGCCATGAGGATTTCATTCTATTTATTAGCTTATTTATTTAAAATAAAGCTTGTAAAAAATCTTGCTAGGAATAGAGGTCTCTGTCATTCCCTATCAATGTCATAATTGCTTCATCCAAACTTGTAATAATGAAATCTCAGGACTATGAAAGCTTCCAGGCCTCCTCTCTAAAATCAATAGGAGCTAAAGTATTAGAGATGCTATTGGATAATGTCTTCTTAAAGTTATCCCTTTGTGTGATGGACTAGAAGCTAATGCTAAAACTTTCTGATGCCCCGATCATTTAGTAGGAGTGTCCAACCTGTATCTTGTAGGCTATATGCAGATGACTTGAGGACTGTTTAGCTTATCTGTGATTTTGGATATCATGAAAAGTATACACAGACCTTTTCTTTTGCTCACCAGCTTTCCTTAGTGTTTGTGTATGTACTGAGTGGCCCAAGACAACTCTTATTTTTCTGATGTGTCACAGAAAAATTTAAAAAAAGCTGGACACCTCTAAAAATTCTAGAGAATTGTTTTAAGTTCATTCATCTATTTATTTATTCAAACACATATTTTACTGACCACTCATGAGTGTAGACACTAATGATGCAAAAGAAGACATGGTCTCTGTCTTGAAGTTGCTTACAAAAGTGAATAGACAGAGAATCTGACAATTATAATAGACTGAAGACAATATAATAAAGAACAGAATGTTATAGGAGCAGAAAGGAGAAGGAACTTCACTTCGCTTGAAGGAAAAAGAACATGAGCTCAAAGATGATAAATAGTAGATATATAAAGTAGGCAATAATGATACAGTGTGATAAGTAGTAAGCTCACAGTGCTGTGGAAATATATAAAGCAAATATCTAACATAGGTTGGAGGTCATCTTGAGAGAAGAAATTAAGTAGAGGCCCTTAGAGAGAGAACTAAAGTAAGTGAGATGTAAAGAAAAAGTAGCTTACTTAGGGGTTTCTAGGCAGAGGGAACTACATAAACTGAAGTCTGGATGCAAGAGAAAACAAAGCATATTTGGGTGATATGGAACATTAGGTAGGAAGAGGAGTACAATGAGGCTGGAAATGTCACCACACATTTTGCATTTAGATCACACATTTTGCATTTAGATCACACATTTTGCATTTAGAAGGTGTGTGAGGAACACAAAAAGATGGGAGACTAGTCAGGAGAGATAATCAGGGCCTCAATTAAGAAGATAGCATCATTGGCAGCACCTGTGGCTCAAAGGAGTCGGGCACTGGCCACATATACTGGAGGTGGCGGG